CTTGCCCAGGACCTGGACGTTTTTCAGGGCTTGTAGGGCTTTGGGGTTCAACCTCCTCTCTTTTAAAGGGACAGGAGCCCAAGTCTCCCCAGTAAGACTTGAAAACTTTCCCCTCCATTTCCAGTAGTGCAAGTATCACCTCGCCTGGTGTGCCGCTTTCTCTCCCTCTTATTCTCTCTCCCTTTTACTTTTCTTTTTTTTATATATTTGGGAGCAAATTAGATTATCATAATAATGAGACAATTATTCCGCTTCTGTGTTCCACTCCACTGCACAGAGGAAGAGAGAGAGAGAGAGAAAGAGGGAAAGCTCAACTTCTTTGTAGTGCAGCTTTTTTATGACAGTAATTACCCCCCAAAAGTGAGTCATTAAACGCTTTGGTGTTGCGTTTTTCTTGGAAGATAAAGCTAATTAATATTACAGGCTTCTAATGAGCGCATTCTTCTCGGGTCTGATTGCGCGCACATCTAAACCTCTTTATCACAAGTTTTTTTTTTTAAAAAAAGGCATTAGATAAATAGTAGTGAGACTTTGGAGGGGGGGGGGAAGAGAGCCTTGGGGGTATTGAACTGGGGAAAAGATGAAACAGGCTGAAAAAGGAATGGAAAAAAGAACCAGAACAGGCGGTGGCCGTCTATTGTGCACCCCCTCTTTCCCATTCTCCAGATCGAAGTTCCTGAGATCTACTTGTGTGGGTTTTATTTATTTATTTATTTATTTATTTACTTCATTTGTTGACCGCCGCTCTCAGCCCTAAGGAAATCCCCCCCAACCCACCAATCAGTCCTTTGAGAATAAAAGAACAGGGTACTCATGACTAGATGTCCCTTTTACCATGGTCCACCCTTCCTCAACCATGGCAATTAAACTACTTTATCACACTAGAGAATGAATCCACTTAAAATCCGGTTACTTCCACTTGCAGAATTCTGGGATTTGTAGTTTAGTGAGGCTGTTCAAGACTCTTCCCTAAACTACAAACCCCAGAATTCTGCAGGAGGCAGCAACTGGATTTTAAGTGGATTCATTCTCTACTGTGATGGAGTCACAATGACCTTCCATTGGACATGGACAACAGAGTGATGCTGGATGACATGGTTCTATGGCAGTGGTTCTCAACCTGGGGTCCCCAGATGTTTTGGCCTTCAATTCCCAGAAATCCTAACAGCTGGTAAACTGGCTGGGATTTCTGGGGGTTGTAGGCCAAAAACATCTGGGGACCCCAGGGTGAGAACCACTGCTCTTGTGTGATGAAGAAAGTGGTGTCAAAGTGTATTAATTCTACCACGTAGATGCACCCCAATTTAGGGAAAGTGTAGGGAGAGAAGTCTCCCATTTCTGTTACTAAAAAGGGACAGGATCATCTTCTCTCCACTTTTTCGACTTAAGAAACTGCAAGTCGCTTCTGGTGTGAGAGAATGAGGCAAAATGAGGTTGTGATTGTGCATAGTCTTCAACTTGCAGCTGAAGGCACAGAGATGGAATATGGTTCCCCTATTCGTTTGTCCAAACTCCAGTTTACTCTGGAGACATATTTGTTTAACTGGGAGCAAGATGTTTGGGAAACTGCCTTGGGCTTCCACCACTGGTTCTTCGAGTCAGGGTGGGATCAACATTCCTGCAATGTGTTGTCGAAGGTTTTCATGGCCGGAATCACTGGGTTGCTGTGAGTTTTCCGGGCTGTATGGCCAATTTCCAGAAGCATTCTCTCCTGACGTTTGGCCCACATTTATGGCAGGCACCCTCAGAGGTTGTGAGGTCCCAACTTCTGAGGATGCCTGACAAAGATGTGTGCGAATAGTCAGAAGAGAATGCTATCGGAACACGCCCGATAACTAACAGCAACCCAGTTCTTGCGACTCTTCTAAAGAGGATTTTTGACCATGCCTTCTGGCCTTTTTGCCATTTCTTACTGCAGTTTGACCCCGCTGTAATTAATACTATGGAATCATGGGAGCTGTAGTTTGGTGAGGCCCCATCACTCTTTGGCAGAGAAGACTAAAGACCTTGTGATACAGATTCCATAGCACTGAGCCATGTCAATTAAAGTGGTGTCAAACCGCACTCATTCAACAGTGCAGATACATACACCCCAGGACAATGGCTGGGCCCATAACCCTTTGTTGGGGAATCTGAGCTGTTAGGCTCACAATAACCCTCAGTTGGGGTGATTCCAACATAAATATAGCACAGCACCAGAAGTAACCTTCATAGCCTCCCACAAAGGTGGTAAAACATCAAAACATCCGGGCGTCCCCTGGGCAACGTCCTTGCAGACGGCTAATTCTCTCACACCAGAAGCGACTTGCAGTTTCTCAAGTCGCTCCTGACCATATATATATGTGTGTGTGTGTGTGTGCGCGCGCGCTAGGAAAGTTGAGAACCACTAGTCTATACTGTAGAATTAATATAGTTTCACGCTATTTTAATTGCTAGAGAACCCTGGGATTTGTAGTTTGGCGTCAGCATTATTTTGGCCAAGACTTCCATATCATTGAGGTACTGGCAGTTAATGTGTTGTCAAACTGCACAGATGTACCCAAAGTCTTACTGAACTCGATGTGATTTACTTGCCTAGGATCTGGACGCTTGCAGACGGCCAATTCTCTCACACCAGAAGCGACTTGCAGTTTCTCAAGTCGCTCCTGACATGGAAAAGTGGAGATAAGAAGGTGATCTGTCCCTTTTTAATAACAGAAATGGGACTCTACTCTCCCTACACTTTCCCTAAATTGGGTACATCTACATGGACCTCACAACCTCTGAGGATGCCTGCCATAGATGCAGGCGAAACGTCAGGAGAGAATGCTTCCATACAGCCCGAAAAACCTACAACAACCCAATCCCAAGACTTTTCCTTAGTTTTTCCACCAGGAATTGTTTCTCCTTCCAGAATTCCCATTCCAAAACAAAATTCCTCTCCGGAGTGTCTTTTCCTCACACACCCTTGTGGTCTTTCCCCATTCATAGGGGTCCCGTTGGCTTGAGCCTGGGGTGCAGACGGAGATCCTGCCTATGAATGCCGAAGCCAGGCCTGGGGGTGCTCAAGAGCAACCCGAGGGCGCAGAGGCTGCAGCCTCGCTTAGGAAGAATTAGCAGGGAAATCAATCGGGGACTTCCTTTCCCAGCAGAAAGGCATCCCAGCCCAGCCACGTTGAGCCCTCTTAAAGCTGCACGCCTTGACCTAGGAGCAAATCCTATGAAACTGAGGCTGGATCTACACTGCGCTGTATCCCAGGATCTGCTCCTGAGATACAGGGCAGTGTAGACACAGCCTCAGTAAGATTTTATATTTAATACTTGTGTGTTTGTGTCAGGAGGGCTTCTGGGGTGAGATAATTGGTCCAGGGATGTTTGATGTTTTACCACCCTTGTGGGAGGCTTCTATCATGTCCTCGCATGATGAGCTGGAGCTGACAGAGGAAGCTCATCCGCGCTCTCCCTGGATTCGAACCTCTTCCGACCTGTTGGTCTAACCCATTGAACCACCCATTGTCCCACCGAGGGCTCCTATCTCCACTCAGTAAGCTAGTAAACTACGTTTTCTATCTAGAATGTATTTCTTGACCTAGGAGTAAATTTACGCCTTGACCTAGGAGTAAATCCTATGAAACTGAGGCTGGATCTACACTGAGCTGTATCCCAGGATCTGATCCCAGATTACCAGGCAGTGTAGACTCATATAATCCAGTTCGAAGCAGGTAATCTGAGATCAGATTCTGTGATATAGGGCAGTGTAGACCCAGCCTCAGCAAGATTTAATATTTAGTACTTTTGTGTATGTGCGTGTCAGGAGGGCTTCTGGTGTGAGAGAATTGGTCCAGGGATATTTGATGTTTTATCAGCTTTGTGGGAGGCTTCTCTCATGTCCCTGCATGGGGAGCTGGAGCTGACAGAGGGAGCTCATCCACGCTCTCCCTGGATTCGAACCTTTGACCTGTCGGTCTAACCCATTGTGCCACCGAGGGCTCCTATCTCCACTTAGTAAGCTAGTTAGCTCCAAGACCTTTTCTGTCAAGGACCTCACAACCTCTGAGGAAGCCTGCCATAGATGTAGGCGAAACGTCAGGAGAGAATGCTTCTAGAACATGGCCATACAGCCCGGTAAACTCACAGCAATCCATAATAGGAAGGTTTTTCTTAGCAAGCTGTTCTGCAGACGTTTCCTGTTGTTTATTTACGACTCGGAGAATATGTTTTGCCCAAGTCACTCACTGCGTTTCCATGGATGAGAAAAGATTTGAACCTTCTCTTCTCCAGTTGTGGTCCAAGATACTTCATCACACTAGAGGATGAATCCACTTTAAATCCGGTTGCTGCCTCCTGCAGAATTCTGGGGTTTGTAGTTTAGGGAGGCGCGTGTAATAGTCTCACTAAACTACAAACCCCAGAATTTTGCAGGAGGCAGAAACCGGATTTAAAGTGGATTCATTCTCTAGTGTGATGAGGTTTCAAGACTCACTCTGAGCTGGCGCATCCCAGATAGACAACTCTTAGGAACAGTGTGGAAGMGTTACTACGCGTGCGGGGAAGTTTTGTCTCCTAGCTAAGGACTACTGGTGTAAACCAGGGTTTTGGTATTATTGGGTTTGTGTCTGGAAATCCTGTTCCGATTTAGTTCGCATGGGGCGGGATACAAATAAAGTTTGTTKCTGTTGTTAGTTCTCGCATGGCACTTGGAGTTCAAGAAGAGCCGCCTCTCTCTGCTTCTCCAACTACTTCACCGCACTAGAGAATGAATCCACTTTAAATCTGGTTTCTGCCTCCTGCAGAATTCTGGAGTTTGTAGTTTAGTGAGGTTGTTAAAGACCCCTCCCTAAACTACAAACCCCAGAATTCTGCAGGAGGCAGCAACCCGATTTAAAGCGGATTCATTATCTAGTGTGATGAGGTACTTGCATAGCGTGTCATTCAACACAGGGCTGGATAATTGAGGGAGACTGTGTTAGACCTGTTTGCTGCTGCGGCTTTGCACTGAGCTGCCTTCCTCTTTGTCCCAGGTGTGGTTTCAGAACAGAAGAGCCAAGTGCCGGAAACAAGAAAATCAGCTACATAAAGGTATGTGGAGCAGAAGCGCAGGATTTCTAGCGTCTGTCGTGGGTTTATGGTTTGTAATGTAAGTATGGTATTTACTTAGGCAAACCCTCTTCCAAGATCGGTGTACTGGCCTTGATGGCCCCCTTACAAACTCTGGCATAGACACTGAGAAATGGGAAGCCCTGGTTCTTGAGTGCTCTAGCTGGAGGTCAGCAGTGACCAGCAGTGCTGTAGAATTTGAAGAGACAGGAATGGAGGGTGAAAGAGAGAAATGTGCCAAGCAGGCCCTTAGCCAGAATTTTGATTGGGGGGTGGGTGGGTGGGTGCTGAGTTTGATGGGGGGGGGGCTGAGTTTGGGTGGGGGGAGCTGAGGATCTACCCTAGCAAATCTTTTGTACCGTTATCCCATATATGGAGGATATATTGAGCACGGTGATCAGATCATGATATGAATAAACATAACAGTTTAAATAATGTACCAGTAAGGCCTTCTCCCAGACCACCCTGAGAATTTGGGGGGGGGGGGAGCTGAAGCCCCTCAAGCCCCCCCCCTTCCTGCTACATGCCTGGTGCCAAGAGGAAGACTCCTCAAGCCAACCTCTATTGACACAGCCTTCCACCTGGAAACCAATGCCCTCACTGCGGGAGAAGATGCAGATCAAGAATAGAACGCCACAGTCACCTAGGACCCACCAGTACACTGGTCTTGGAAGACTTGACACACCTTTCTCTTGGCAAGTTTCTCTTTTTCGCCCTCCATTCATGCCTCTTTAAATTCTACAGCACTGCTGGTCACAGCTGACCTCCAACTGGAGCGCTAAAGGACCAGGGCTTCCCAGTTCTCAGTGTCTATGCCACAGTTTTTAAGGTTGGCTTTGAGCCCATCTCTAAATCTCTTTTCCTGCCCTCCAACAGTCCGTTTTCCATTCTTGAGTTCGGAGTGGTCGGCTTGTCTTCCCAAGAGATTTGCAGGATTTTTTTTGCAGGATTTTTCAGAGGAATCTTTCTAGGAGTTGCATGTGACTTCTGTAGATAGTCCACATTTCTCAGGCGTGTAGGAGGGTTGGGAGGACAATAGCTTTATAAACAAGCACCTTGGTATCCCTACAGATGTCAAGGCCCCCAACACTCTCTGCTTCATTCAGAAAATGCTGCACTCGCAGAGCTCAGGCGGTGTTGTATTTCAGTGTTGACTTTGGTGGAGAGGTGGCTGCCAAGGTAGCGGAAATGTATGGTATATAAGAGTAAAGCACATAGTTTTTTGTAAAGCAAAGGAGCCTATAACGCAGACATGGGTATGTTTGCCCATACCTGAGCTACACGGTAGAACTAATGGGGTATGACACACCACACTAGAGAAAAAAATTAACTTAAAACCTGGTTTCTGACTCCTGCAGAATTCTGGGGTTTGTAGTTCAGTGAGGCCGTTAAAGACTCTTCCCTAAACTACAAAACTCAGAATTCTGCAGGAGGCAGCAACAGGATTTAAAGTAGATTCATTCTCTAGTGTGATGAGGCCTTCTGCCATGACTCAATGTAATGGAATCATGGGAGATGGAGCCTCACAAGCTCTTTGGCTTTCTCTGCCTTCATGGAACTACAACTCCCAGGATTCCATAGCATTGGGCCATGGCAGTTAAGGGCTGAATTTACACTGCTATATATTGCAGTTTGAACTGCATTGAAGTACATTATGTGATCTGCACCAGGCATTGGCCAACTTGGGCCTTCCAGGTGCTTTGGACTTCAACTCCCACCATTCCTAACAGTCTCAGACCCTTTCCTTTCCCCCTCAGCTGTTTAAGGGGGAAAAGGAAGGGACCTGAGGCTGTTAGGAATGGTGGGAGTTGAAGTCCAAACATCTGGAGGGCCTAAGTTGGCCCATGCCTGCTATAAGGGATCCAGCACACCATTATAGACCAGAGCAGGAGTCATTTTTGAGCCAAGGTATCTGGCACAGCATTAGACCACTTGGACAAGGTAGGACTTATTTGTGACATAATGCTGGAAAAGGTGTGCCAGGCAGGAGTCATCCAGAGGTGAGCCTGGGTCGCCCACCTTCTGGGCTGAACTGAGTCCTGTCTTCTTGTCTTTTCCTCCAGGAGTTCTTATAGGAGCTGCCAGTCAGTTTGAAGCCTGCCGAGTTGCCCCCTACGTGAATGTTGGCGCTTTGCGGATGCCTTTCCAACAGGCAAGTTGTTGTTATTGTTGTTAATATTTTTCCAACAGGCAAGTTGTTGTTATTGTTATTAATATCATTGTGTTTGTTTATATCCCACTTTTCTCCCAATAATTGTATTTGGGGTTAAACTGCTGAGCTGCTGAACTTGCTGACCGAAAGGTTGCTGGTTCGAATCTGAATCCAGGCAGGGTGAGCTCGCAATGTTAGGCCCAGCTTCTGCAAACACAGCAGTTCAGAAACATGCAAATGTGAGTAGAATAATAGGTGCTTTGGCTTAGAAATGGATTTGAGCACCACCACCACCCCAGAGTCTAACACAATAGACCAAGCGCCCTTCCACACAACCCAGAATATTAAGGCAGAAAATCCCAAAATATCTGCTTTGAACTGGGATATCTGAGTCCACACTGCCATATATCCCAGTTCAAAGAAGAAGATGTGGGATTTTATTCAGCTGTGTAGAAAGGGCCATAATGTCAGGGGAAACCTTTACCTTTTTTAACAGCATATTCAAATCTATATAAGTGAAAAGCAATAAAATAGAATAAAAGTAGAAATATAAAATGACTAACAGTTAAATGGTTTGTTCATTAAAATTCTAAACATTGAAGTGTATAAAAACCCTTTAAAAATCTTCAAAACAGCAATTTGTGAAGGCCAGGCAGAACAGAATTGTATTTGGCTTCCGAGGAAGGAGAGCAAGGATGGAAGCATCCTGGCCTTTGGAGGGAGGGGTTCCCAAGCCTTGGAGTAGCCAAGAAGAAGGCCTTTTCTCCAATGGGACTGAGAAGGTCGTCTCCAGGTGATTTCTGAACTCAAAGCCTTATAGAGATTTATTTATCACAATTACCTATAAAAAGTTACCCTGAGAAATATAATAATAATAATAATAATAATAATAATAATAATAATAATAGAATCATAGAGTTAGAAGAGACCTTGTGGGCCATGCAGTCCAACCCCTGCCAAGAAGCAGAATTCAAAGCACCCCCAACGGATGGTCATCCAGTCTCTGTTTAAAAGCCTCCAAAGAAGGAACCTCCTCCTCCTCCTCCACCACCACCACCACAATAATAATAATAATAATAATAATAATAATAATAATAATAATAATCAACTTTATTATGGTCAATGACCAGATCATATAATAATAATAATAATAATAATAATAATAATAATAATAATAATAATAGTCTTTATTTATATTCCTCCCTATCTCCCTGGAGGGCGGATTCCAATAACAAAAAGGCAAACATTCAATGCCTGAACATAACTGCTAATACACACAGAATAACAAACATTGAACTACACAGCATATGAAGGCAAATTATAACTTGACAAATCAGGATTAAATTTAAACACAACCTATAATAGCAAATATAAGGTAAAACATAACAAAACATCAAAACAGAGAAAAAAGTATGCCTGAGAAATACCACCAACTTCTTTCCTTGCCTTGTCATTTGTGCTCTGGATTAAATAGTAACCTCAAGACATAATCCATATTCCTAGCTGGATATGAAATAATTCATTAAAAAAATGAAAGAGAAAGATTGGATATGTGTATTTTTGGCCCACACATTTAATACCATGATCCTTCTTTGGAGGCTTTTAAATAGAGGCTGGATGGCCATCTGTCAGGGGTGCTTTGAATGCTTTTTCCCTGCTTCTTGGCAGGGGGTTGGACTGGATGGCCCATGAGGTCTCTTCCAACTCTATGATTCTATGTTTTTCAGTCCAATTCTACATTTTTTGTACTTTTTTGGAAAGCAGCTCCATTGAGCTCAGTAGGATTTTTTTAGTGATTTATATTAGTAAATGGTGGGAAGGTTGTGATTTTGGTTGCAGCTTCCAATCAGCATAGTCCAAATAAGTAACTTTTCTAAGCTTTGAATATAAATGTGCTTAGAATGGCAGTCTTACCCTGACTCAAGATCTATTAAGTGGACCTAAGTTTTAAATATGAAGATTTCTCCCCCTAGGAATTTATTTACAAGTAAAAAATGGGGACAATATGATGGGTTGTCAAGAATTGTGACAGGATTGTCTTTGTGAAGCTCATTTCCTCTCTGTGTTTTACCCAGGGAGTAAACCATGTGATAATTTCTTTGTTTATAGACAAAATATATATACTGTGCTCAGTGAGGCTTATTCTCAGCTAAGGATACAGAGCATAGCTGTTTAAGGAGTCACAAACTGAATCACAATCTTATGTATGTTGATTCAGAAGGAAGTCCCATGTTTTTAATATGGTGTTTATTCCCTAATCAGTGTGTTAGGGCTTAAAGAGGGGGTGGAGGGGGAGGAATGAATGTATTGCCTTAAAAAATGTATTCTGTCGCCTCTAAGGAAATTTTCCTTCAGTTTTCCAATTTGTAGCATTGCAGTAACCTCAACTCTCAGTTGAATAATAAAAAATACAGTTAATAATAATAATAATAATAATAATAATAATTTCATTTCTTATTTGCCTTTCTTCATGACTCGAGACATCAAAAGAAAATGTGCTGCCAAAGTTATCATAGGAATACAAACACAGCAAATACGAGAGTTGTAGGTCTAAGTGATTTTCATTCTCTCACCATCTGTAATGTTAGGAATTTGATGACTGAAGGAAAATTTCAGGGGCAATGAGAATTCATATTTGCAGGGGCAATGCTCTCATTTTGCTTTCCTTGTAGCTACAGCCTGGTCACAGTCCAGAAAATCATTGCATGTATGTGCCTACGTGGATGTGTTTTTGTTCCCTTCTAAGATAGTCATTTAGGGAGATTTTATAAACAGGGAGAGTTTGGAAACTGGACGCCATGTAGAACTTGAATCAATTTCAAGGGAGAATGAAAAATCCAGGCATTACCTTTCTTTTCTTGGAGAATCTATCTTCAACAACCCACATTAGATGGAAGAGGCCAGGCTTTCAAATCTGTTTTTAAATGTTTTGGCTCTGGCTCAGCACACTCCATCCTCTTAAGCCCATCGATTGCAGTGGCCTGAATAATTGCTATTAGGTTGATTTTGATGAGACTTCTAATTAACCCATTTTGAAATAAGTGCATTAGGGGACCAAAAGACCTGATGGCTTCTTCTCCTTCATCTTTAATGAATTTGTTATGCGCAATGCAAGAATATGCAGTGCACTCCAGGCTTGTTGACATTAGTGGTCCCTTCCAGTTCTTGGGGCTGTATAGATCCATCCTTTAGTACTGAGTTATGACTTATTGAACTTAGGTATTATGGCTTCTTGAGCTCTAGGTTAGATTACTGCAACACCCTCTACGTGGGGTTGCCTTTGAAGACTGCTCAGAAGCTTCAAATAGTCCAGTGAGAGGCAGCCAGGTTAATAACTGGAGCGGTGTACAGGGAGCACGCAACTCCCATGTTACGCCAGCTCCACTGGCTCCCAGTTTGCTACGGAGCACAATTCAAAGTGCTTGCTTTGGCCTATAAAGCCCTAAATGGCCCTGGCCCAATTTACCTGTCCGTACCCATCTCCCCCTATGAACCACCATGGAGATTAAGATCATCTGGGGAGGCCCTGCTCTCAGTCCTGTCACCATCACAGGCGTGTTTGGCAGGGATGAGAGACAGGGCCTTCTCAGTGATTACCCTTCCTAATGAGATCAGGTCATCCCCCTCCCTCTTGTCCTTTAGAAGGATGATAAAAAACGTGTCTGTGGGACTGAGCCTTTGGGATTGTGCAATGAGGCAGCGATAGGAACTCTTAGTATGCCAACCAAATTCAATATGGTTGTTGAGACAGTTTTAACTAGAGGATTTTAATGTCGAGATAAGTCATTTTAATGCTTTTGTATGTGTGTGGTCTAGTATGTTTTGGCCTGAGTCCCCTTTGGGGTGAGAAGGGCAGAATATAAATGCTTTAAATAAATAAATAGGTATGCGCATCATATAAAGCTTAGTGGATACATCTAGATATGCAAAGACTTTGAGTTGTATATCTTATGTGTAGGATAAGATGTTTTAATCTCAGTGTTATGAAGGAAGAAGAATAGAATTATCTCCCAAGAAGATTTTCCCTAGAAAAATTATAACAGTAGCAACTGCAGTTTGCTGGAGCCAACATTTTTTCCCCCCAAATGTCAAAGCCGATGGTGTTGTTAAAACCACAAAGGTCATGCCAGAAATGACCAAGAGCCAAAGATGTGTACAGTCATTAGAGGACAGAGATGAAGGGAAAAAGACAAAGTACTTCCACTGGCTTGACCGATGCTTGGAGTCAATAAGCCTTCTGCAACTTAAATGCTTGTTTGACTGCAGCCAAAGCACATAGAGACAATATATTTGTGCTCCTTAATTTGATTTTTATTAGACCTTAAAGAAGGTAATTACTTCAGTCATCTTCTCGTGGTAGAGACAGATGGTCAAGCAAAGTGTTCAAAAATATGTAGTCAAAGAAATCCAACTTGGATGAAAGTCTATCAAGTAACCACATTAGAAACCAGAAGACCAAATATTGGGGAAGGAAGGGAAATGATTTGGACTATACACACACACACACACACACACACACACACACACCATGATACTTAAAGTCAACCAGTTAGCATTTGAAACCTGCTAGAAACAACCATAAGCATAAAAAAGAAATAGGCAGCTTATGTTGCCCCTCAGCCAGACCCAAATATCTTTTTCCTCCAACTAATTTATGCATGAAGCGCATGCCAAACCTCAAACTGGATGGCTCAGTTTGTTTATACATAAATTTACTGAAGCACTCAAATTTCCGCATATAATGCAGCTAGTCCATTCTATGCAGAGCATAGCTGTACCTTCCTACTTAATCTGGCTGGTGCAGACAAGGCAGAATTGTGTATCAGTTTGGTTCTGAAGCATTTTCTAGTCCTTATGAATTTCTCCTAATGCATGAAGTAATGGCTATGTGGTGCTTTCAAATACAAAGCAGGAGAAAACAGATTTGCCCTATGTATTATTGAAGGCTTTCATGGCCGGAATCACTGGGTTTTTCAGGCTATATGGCCATGTTCTAGAAGCATTCTCTCCTGATGTTTCACCTGCATCTATGGCAAGCATCCTCACAACTTCTGAGGATGCTTGCCATAGATGCAGGCGAAACGTCAGGAGAGAATGCTTCTAGAACATGGTCATATAGCCCGAAAAATCCACAACAACCCAAATTTGCCCTATTTTAGCTGGCAGGGATACATGAGATGGTCCAATCAAGGAAGGATACAGCCATCCAATTTACATTTATAAGGATAGTATATGATCCGAAAACCCACCAAGCATTAATCCAATGAAGTGCATTCTTCTGCTATCCTCCAGGTCAATTAAAGACTAATTTATATTGAGAACTCACAAAATCAGAAAAAAACCCAGAGAACTATGTTGGTTTCAGTGCAGTAATGGCTGCAGTTTTTAAGGGTAATGCAGTAGTATCAAGTAGTGATCCTTAGTGAGTGGGGATTGGATTAAGTGGCCCATGAGCTACCTTACAAATCTATAACTGTCTATCGCTCTAAAACGATGTTTACCAAATTTTGGTCCTCTATAAGTTTTGAACTTCAACACCATTTTGTCTATGACTTCTCAGAGTTAAGAGTCTCAAACACTTAGAAAATGCTGCAAGGAAAACCACTCCTTTTGAGCCTATTTTTCCCTGCTTTTCATGGCTACAGAGTCACTGACTCTGCTGCCATAGTGTATCAAGAGGATTACATATTTAACCATGCCATGAGTCAAGCCAACCACAATTTAAATAAAACCAGAAAGAGAAGGAAATGCTTAAACGTTATGATAAGATGGGGAGAGCAATTGTTATGGGCCCAGAGCTATTTTTATATGCCCTGGAGCCTCTAGAATCTGAAATAGTTGCCCAGTCAGGTATGGCTAGAAATCCATGCTTCCTGTTTAAAAAGCAGATGAAGTTATTTATTTATTTACTCTATTTATACACCGCCTTTCTCAACCTGTGGGGGACTCAAGGTGGCTTATGTGCACAGGCAACAATTTGATGCCATGTAAACATACATATATAGTAAAATAAACATATATATTAAAACAATAATTAAAAATCAACATATCAAACTTTAAAATACTATCTAAAAACACATTATCCAAAATCATAGTCCATGGCCATTCCAAATTGTCATTGCACTATTCCATAGTTCTCTAGTGGGATACTAACTGAACTCTTGATCCCACATCCACATCTTTAGCCTTTTCCTGAAGGTCAGGAGAGAGGGCGCTGATTTGATTTCGTTAGGGAGGGAGTTCCAAAACCGCGGGGCCACCACTGAGAAGGCCTTGTCTCTTGTCCCCACAAACGGCTCCTGAGAAGGAGGCAGGACTGAGAGCAGAGGCCTCCCCAGATGATCTTAACCTCCTAGCTGGCTCATAGAAGGAGATATGTTTGGACAGGTAAACTTGCAGTCTGTCAGAGTCTGGCAGAGGGGCAACTTGGGCTGGCTAGTGTTTATGCATACTGTCTAATTAAAAGGTGAGCTTCACCATTTTTTGTAGGTAGAAAAGGGGTTGTTGGGGCTTCTGGAGGAGACAAAGGCAAGAAAACCAGTTTTGAAGGTCTTAAAGATCATGCTTTCCCCACCTCTGTGGTGAGGGATGGTACTATATATTTTAGAGTCAAATTTTAAGTTTGCTTTCAATGGTAGTATTTAGTCCTGGAACAGAAATATAGTTAGAACTGGAACTGAGTGAGGTTCGATTGCCTTTCTGTGCAGCAGAGACAGCAAAGTGTAAGTTGTGGTCTGCTTGAGATTAAACTGAATGGTGTTTAGGTCAGCCTTTTCTGGGAAATACTCCATGTTTTTACAAGTGCTATTTAGGTCTGGATAGGAGTCACATCCTGTTAGCCTAGTTATACTGCATTCTCAAAGTGAAGACTATGATATTTTGTACATGCTCACTGTGAGAATGCTTCTAGAGCTCTGTCATATATTTCATCTGCTCTTCTTGTGCTTGGTTAATGTTTTTTTTTTTTTATGAATGTGAAGGTATTGCTCTTTCAATGGTTGAAGTCATTTTAGCAGATTGGCAACTTTACTACAGACCACTATGTCTAAACCAGTGTTTCTTCAAACTGTACTTCTCCGGGTGTTTTGGACTTCAGCTTCCAGAAATCCCAACCAGTTTACTAGCTGTTTGGAATTGTGGGAGCTGAAGTCCAAAACATCTGGAGGAGCACAGCTTGAGAAACACTAGTGTAAACAGTGCTGAACATACTTAAGGTTGGAGAATTGCAGTGAACAAGCCTCTCCGAGCAGAGGTACTGGTTGTCTTCCTATAAAAATACTTTGGACCATGTTGAACAAATGATACAAAATAAAACAGTGAAAACCTAGGAAAGGGGAAAAACCCACTGCTTTCAGTGAAATTCAGTCCCAGTTAAGTATGCACAGCACAGGTGCCCCTAAGTTAGGGATTTGATGTTATTGGACTGAGGCTCCAAATTTGCCATAGACAGCATAACCAATGTTGAGGAAAGATGGAAATTGCCATCTAACGGGTCACAACATTTCCACTCTTGCCTTAGATCCAAAGCTTGGGGAATTTAAGAGTTGGGGTCCCCAAAAATAGCTTTCCCGCATTCTACTTAAATCCACTGCAAGGAAGGCATGTGTGCCTTGCTTGTGGCCTCTCCCTCTTTTGCAATTTTGGGATTAGTAGCACTCTCTGCCGGGAAGCCTTTAGTACAGTGTTTCCTAAACTTTGGTCTTTCTGCTGTTTTGGAATTCAACACAGATATCTTGTTTTGAGAGTTGAAGTCTAACACATCGGGAAGACTGGAGTTTGGGTAACATGGTAATGAAAAGAATTCATAGCACTATAATGGCATAGTATAGAAGGGTCCCGAGTAAGCTGGGAGCATTTAGGAGACTAAAGTTTGGAAAACACTGTTGTAGTGTTTCACCAAATTTTAAAGTACAGGATTCCATAGGATGCAGCCATGGTAATTTAAGATGGATCATAATACTATAACAGTGCATGGTGGCAGGCAGGACTCAGTGATTTGGGCTTCTTGAATCCTGAGAGGTGAAGTCTGCAAGACCAAACTCTGGGAAACATGGCAGTCAAAGTTGATTCCTAGCACTATAATAAATCATTAAATTAAAAACAAGTTAAAACATTATAATCAACAATATAGCCATTTCCAGTCCAATTCAGTATCAAAGACCCAATTCAGAGCATGTCCATGGTCTATTCTCACACATTACAAGCGCTGTCATGCCTGCTGTCCAAAAGCCCGGTCCCAAAACCACAATTTAAGCTTCTTCCTAAAAGAAAGGAGGGAAGGAGCCGACCTAACTTCTCTGGGGAGCGAGTTCCATACTCCTTGAATGCCTGTGTGCAAAGCCAGGTCTTTAACTTTTTCCAGAAGACTAGGAGGGATGGGACCAGTCTGATGTCACTGGGGAGGGAGGTCTATAGCTGAGGGGCCATCACTGAGAAGGCCCTATCTCTCATTCCCACTGATTGTACTTGCATAGGGGGATCTTCCCAGCAGTTGGATAAGTTTTTTTTTGTCATGTCAGGAGCGACTGGGGAAACTGCAAGTCGCTTCTGGTGTGAGAGAATTGGCCGTCTGCAAGGACATTGCCCAGGGGACGCCCGGATGATTGATGTTTTTATCATCCTTGGGAGGCTTCTCTCATGTCCCTGCATGAGGAGCTGGAGCTGATAGAGGGAGCTCATCCACCTCTCCCTGGATTCGAACCTGCGACCTGTTGGTCTTAAGTCCTGCCAGCACAGTGCTTTAACCCACTGCGCCACCGGGGGCTCCCAGTTGGATAAGTGAAAATGTTGGATAATAAGGAGGAATTAAAGAAAAGCCTATTAAATATGATTTTACAAATTAAGCACCAAAACATCATGTTTTACAACATATGACAGAAAAGCACTTCAATACACAGTAATGTTATGTAGTAATTACTGTATTTATGAATTTAACACCAAAACATCACAATGTATTGAAACGGCTGTGGATCTGGGTGGGAGGCAGACTGCTTTGGATAATACAAACATTAGATGAGCAAAGCTTGGGTAAGCGAGACTCTACTGTATTATTGAAGTGGAATCATAGCGCTATACTGGCATACTGCAGTAGTGCAGAAGGGTCCGGAGTTGGCGGTGTTAATGCTCTTGTCTTTCTCCCCACTCTTGTCGCACCCCTTTTAGGATAGTCATTGCAACATGACGCCCTTGTCCTTTCAGGTGCAGGCACAGCTGCAACTGGACAGCGCGGTGGCGGCCCACGCACATCACCACCTCCACCCGCACCTGGCCGCCCATGCACCCTACATGATGTTCCCAGCACCGCCCTTCGGCCTCCCTTTGGCCACTTTGGCCGCAGAGTCCGCCTCGGCTGCCTCGGTGGTGGCTGCAGCAGCGGCCGCCAAGACCACCAGCAAGAACTCCAGCATCGCGGACCTCAGACTCAAAGCCAAAAAGCACGCGGCCGCCCTGGGCCTGTGACTGGTCCCTTGCCCTTATGCTGGGCACGTTGCAATCCCGGGGGTGGAGAGGGGGGAGGGGAGCCCCCAAGACTTGTCTGTGCCCCCTAAGCAGAGCCCCCCTTGACTCCCTTGAAGGGGCTCCCTCTCAATTTTCCCCCTCTTTCCTGGTCCTCCAAGACTTCGAAAACCAAGAGAGACAAAAAAGGTGGGAAAACCCACCACGTGCTGATCACAGGGCGCCAAACCTGCCCAACCTAACTTGCTCAGACAATTGCATTGTCTTCTTATTCTGCTGCTTCTTCAAATGGAAATGGGAAAAAGAGCAAATCCAGAGGAGGAGAAAAGCGAGCCAAACCCCGGAGGGAAAAGAGACAGACTGATTGGGGAAAAAAAAGAATGAATTAAGATGAAACAAGGCACGCAGCTGGGAAGTTCACAGGTTTTGAAACTGACCTTTGCCTGCCGAGTTCACATTAATACAGAGGAGTTTGATAAGAGAGGCGGGCCTCCTTTTCACATAGTTGCATCTGATCACTTGAGTTTTCACAGACTGAGAAAATGAACAGAGATGAGAAGAAGGAAAGAAGATTTTTTTTAAAAAATGGGGAAAAATATACAAAAATTGAGGTTGGGAAGGGAGGGGGGAGGATTCATGGAAAAAGAGAAGGAGGACACACTCATGCTTCTTTCTCTTCCAATATGGAAATATGGAGAACTGATCGGGTGACTTAGTAGAGGTCCGATCTGCATGTTAACTGGTTTCCTTTTCATATTCTTTTTCTGTCTTGGCGTCCCTTTTGGATCATTTTGCACTTCACCTTCCATCTTTAGGGGAAAAGACATCCGACTGGATCAGAAATGGCTTAAAGGCGCCTGTTTCCAAAGAGAGAGAAGAGGTACAATTACATTGTAGAGTTCATGCAGTTTGACACCCCTTTCGTGACATGATTCCATCTTGTGGGATCGTGGGAGTTGTAGTTTGGAGAGGCACCAGCACACTTTGACCGAGAAAGCTAAAGAGTTTGTAAAACTACAAACCCTGGGGATTCCTTAGCATGGGACCATGTCAGTTCAAAGGGATGTCCAACTGTCTTAAATCTACAGTGTAGATCAGGCATTGGCAAACTTGGGCCCTTCAGGTGTTTTGGAAATCAACTCCCACCATTCCTGGCCTTGGGCCCCTTCCTTTTCCCCCTCAGCTGCTAAGCGAAAGACAAGGGGCATGAGGCCAGGAATGGTGGGAGTTGAAGTCCAAAACACCTGGAGGGCCCAGGTTTGCCCAGTCTTAGTGTAGATGCACCCAAGGAGAAGGAGAGAGTTCAGATCTCATCATGCAATGCCTGAGCTCCTTCCTCATACAACATAAAGAAAAGTTGGGAGAGAGAGAAACCTCAACAGCATTCATGACTTCTGGCCTCTGCGTTGTTACTCCAAGACACCCTATTGGGTGCATCTCTCCTGACTTTTTGCTCACATCTGTGGCAGGCATCCTCAGACGTTGTGAGGTCTGTTGGAAACTAGACAAGTGGGGTTTAATATATCTGTGAAATGATGTCCAGGGTGGGAGAAAAACTCTTGTCTGTTGGAGACAAGTGTGGTTGTAGCTGGTCACCTTGAATAGCATTGAATGGCCTTGCAGCTTTAAAGTCTGGCTGCTTCCTGCCTGGAAGAATTCTTTGTTGAGGTCATTATACTCCACCATTGTATATAATAGGACTTTGGAACCAACCAACCCCCACCACTCCCCCCCCCCCCCCGCAGATACCAAGGGCTCACTATATAACCCCTTAGAAACCCACCTTAACTCTGCTGAGCAGGGCTGCTGGTCCTCGTAGTTCAACAACATCTGAGAGATCATGTGATTCCCATCCCTGTATAGCAGTAGTTCCCAACCTTTGGGCCTCCAGGTGTTTTGGACTTCAGCTCCCATAGTTCCTAACACCAGAAGCGACTTGCAGTTTCTCAGTGTCGCTCCTAACAGTTGGTAAGCTGACTGGGATTTCTGGGAGCTGAAGTCTAAAACACCTGGAGGCTGAACCACTGCTGTATAGACTATAACAATAAATCCAGGCTAATATATATCCAATTGATTTATAGTCCTTGGGGTGCATCTACAATGTAGAATTAATGCAATTTGACACTGCCAGGGCTCCATGTGATGGAATTCCAGGAGATGTAGTTTTACAAGGCTTTCCACCTTCTCTGCCAAAGAGGGCTGGTGCCTCACCAAACTACAAATTTCAGGATTCTATAGCATTGAGCTGTGGCAATGGAATCACTGGGTGGCTGTGAATTTTCCAGGCTGTATGGAAACCACTAGAAGCATTCTCTTCTGAGGTTGGGAGGTCTGTTTAAAACTAGGTAACAGGGGTTTATCTATCTGTGGAAAGTCCAGGATGGGAGGAAGGACTCTTGTCTGTTTGAGACAAGGGTGAATGTAGCACTTGGCCACAAGGGTGAATGTAGCACTTGGCCACCTTGATAAGCATTGAATGGCCTTGCAGCTTCAAGGATTGCTGCTTACTGCCTGGGGGAATCCTTTGTTCGGAGGTGTTAGCTGGCAATAAGCAGCCAGTCCTTGAAGCTGCAAGGCCATTCAGTGCTCATCAAGGTAGCCAAGTGCTACATTCACACTTGTCTCAAACAGACAAAAGTTATTTCTCCCACCCTGGACTTTCCATAGACAGACAGACAGACAGACAGACAGACAGACAGACAGACACACACACACACACACACACACACACACACACACACACACACCCTTCTTGCTTAGTTTTCAACAGACCTCACAACCTCTGTGAATGCCTGCCATCAGGCCTGTAGCCAGGATTTTGATTTGGGGGTGGGGGGTGGGTGGGTGCTGAGTTTGGGGGGGGGCTGAGCATCTACACTAGCAAACCTTTTGTCCCAATACCCCCATACATATGAGGTATATTGAGCATAGTGATCAGATTCTGATATGAATAAACATAACAGTTTAAATAATGTACCAGTAAGGCCTTCTCGGGAACACCATGAGAATTTCGGGGGGGGGGGGGGCTGAAGCCCCTCAGCCCCCCCCCCCCCTACATGCCTGCCTGCCATAGATGCAGATGAAATGTCAGGAGAGAATGCTTCTGGAACATGGCCAGACAGTTTGGAAAACTCTCAGCAACCCAAGGTAGATGTAAATCTACATGAATTGTACTCAGGGCTTCCAGCTTTTGAGAATATCTAGTCCTTTTTGGGGACTGGTTCAAACAAACTCCTCTTCTCTCTCTTCCCTCGACCTTGTCCTGTCGTCCAAGCTTCCACAATACAAAGGAAATATTATGTATATGATGCTTTGTTTCTCAAAGGATGTTGATATTTACAGACATGTTTATTTGAGCAAGAAGGATCCAGGGGTTGTTGACAATTCTGTCCATTTTTCCATCCAGGCTCTTAAAGGTGTAACCTTGCAATAGCTATATCGAATATATATCTATATCTTTTTTTCCAAAAGGCACAGAGAACTATAAAGCCTTCCACAGCCGGACGCTTTCTTGTTTGCCAAGGAAATGAATGGGAGGAAAACAAAAAAAAAAGGAGGGGAGAAAGGAGGAGAGGGATCTGTCTCTTTGCAAGTCGAACTCTGCTAGGAACAGAGCTTTGTAATTATTTGTTCTCCATGAAAACAAAACCAGACAAAAAAAGTTATTTATATTGACGGTATTTTTTCTAGTGTATTTTAAGTTATTGGGGGAGGGAAGGGGAGCGGGAAGGAAAAGAAGAAAGAGAGGGGGGAAAAGTCGGAAGGGGAGGGGGAAATAATAATAATATGCCGTTCCTTCATTGATACATGTTGTTGTCCGCACGATCTATTTGGTTCCACTCAGGTTTTGCTTCGCTTTTTTTTGGGATTCACTCATTGTTGACGCCACCCGTTTCAAGAAGTGCCAAGTTATGAATTAAAGAAGAAGAAGAAGAAAAAAACACTTTTGCAATCTATTTAATGGAATGAAGAAAAAAGAAAGAGAGTAAAGTTTTCGCCGATGGTTTTCGCACAACTTCTGTTCCTATTAAATCAGTAGTGCCATTCTATCCTTTTCAGTATTTCTTTATTCCCTGCTTCCACTACAGGACTCAACTATGACTCACAGCAAACTAAAATAGATTTCCTTTCCAAAAACCTGTGTTTTGTGAGACCTGAAAGGTGATCTACACTGACATATAATGCAGTTTGAACTGCATTCTATGGTCAGTGTAGACCAGGCATGGGTGAATTTGGCCCCCCCAGGTGTTTTGGACTTCAACTCCCACCATTCCTAACAGCCTCAGGCGCTTTCCTTTCCCCCCTCAGCCGCATAAGCTTAAAAGGGGGAAGGAAAGGGCCTGAGGCTGTTAGGAATGGTGGGAGTTGAAGTCCAAAACACCTGGAGGGCCCAAGTTGGCCCATGTCTGGTGTAGACCACATAATGTACTTCAGTGTAGCTTCCGTCCTTCCTTCCCTCTTTCCTTTCTCTCCTTCCTTCCTCCCTTCTCTTTTGTCTTTCCTTCTCTTTCCTTTATCCTTTCCTTCCTTCCTTCTCTTCCTCCCTTCATTCCTTTCTCCTTCTCTTCCTCCCTTTCGTCCTTCCTTCCTCTGTCTCCTTCCTTCCTTCCTTCCTTCCTTCTTCCTTCCTTCCTTCCTTCCTTCCTCCCTTTCTCCCTCCCTCCCTCCCTCCCTCCCTCCCTCCCTCCCTTCCTCCTTCCGTCACCGGGTAGCCTGTCCTCTTAGCAGGAAGTGCTAGAATGCATCGTCATATAAACCAGAATATCAAGGCAGAAAATCCCACAATATCGTCTTTGAACTGGGTAATCTGAGTCCACACTGCCATATATTCAAGTTTAAAGCGGAAAATGTGGGGTTTTATTCAGCTGGGTGAAAAGGGCCCCCCAGAATGGAAACCTGTGATGGATGGGGGCTTATCACAGGACACAGTGACAACGTTGTGATCCCACTTTCACTGTTATGGCTGCATCTTATGCAATTTGCTGTTTAGTAAAAACAGTTATAAACCAGATGACCCACATGATTGTACAAGATAGGACGGATTCATTGTGCTATAAAGGTGAGGTGTGAAAGGGCTGTAGAATCATCCATTTTACCTCATGAGAAGAACAGTCCTGAACTCTACAGTCGGCCATCAGTATCCACGGATTCAACCACCCACGGCTTGGGTATACTTGGGTAAACCCCGGCGGATACCAAAAGCTAACTGTATACTGGATAGAGCAGGAATGGGCAAACTTGGGCCCTCCCTCCA